GTAACTTAGAGTCAATGTATGGTTCAGTAACTTTAACCTGTGATACTTGATTAAGAGTTGATGCTAGCTTTCTTATGCCATTGTTGGACATTCCTGTATTGATCTGAATTTAGGCAAGATCTTGTGCTGTAACTCTTGTAGGAGCCTCAAACAACCGCTGAGAGATTAAAGAACCTGTCAGATTATAAATTTATAAGTAAGTACATCGTGTTTAAGTTTAAAAATAAATTTATAAGCATAGCAAAAATCTACCTGGTGTCAATCCCAACGGTCGTCCACCTTGAGCTTGATTTAGGCAAATTGTTTCATGTGGTGATGCCTCTTTTTGACTAATAACATAAGCAGCTATTTGGTCAGAAACTTTGCTCTCTTTAGCTGCAAGCAACCTCATGTTTTCCCGAAATGTGTATTCATTGCAAGGATGGGACATATCTTAGCCAAGAACTGCAAGACATTTGAAGCATTTATGGTCAACCTTCTCATTTTCAGTCTTCTGCCAATATTCAAAAGAATGCCTTTGATTAAGCTTGAGTTGACCAATTTCACAGATGAGGCATTGGCAAGCTTGTGGAAATCTTGGGATAATTTTCTTGAATATTGAATGGCAGTGGTGTGCTTACTTCTTTGCCTTCATCTTTTCTTTTCATTGCTGAACGGCGTCCTTCACAAATTCCTTTTGGAACTCTTAAATCTTGAAAATCAACATCTCTTTGGAGAACTGTCGTCACTTTTTCAATTATTGAAGGTGTTACCTCTCGTTTTGCCTTGTGCATGCAAAGAAAACAGACAATTTTTCGGTTTTCATGTAATTTTGCAAAAATGGACATTTTTATTGCAGCAGTTGAAAATTATGCTAATCATGAATTTTTTGTAAACAAATAAATTGCGCATTTTCACGAAAAATTTACTTAAAAAATGGGAACTTATAGTGAGTGTACCTTAATCGTCAAATACAAAAAAACACCAGTCAGTAATACAAATATATATGCTGTAGAAATGTCAAAAGCTGTCATTTACTCTATTTCTGTTTATAGTAATACATTTAAATGTTTAATTATTTTCTTGGATTTAATGTTTTGATTTCAACTTTTACATTTTTGTTATCACAGAGTCAAGGGCTTTCAAACCCCACATCTTGTTTCTCTGGGTCAGCTAAAAGTGGTTATCACGAATTTTTGAGAGGAGTAATATATATATATATATATATATATATATATATATATATATATATACATATATATATATATATATATATATATATATATATATATATATATATATATATATATATATATATATGTATATATATATATACATATATATATATAAATATATATATATATATATATTATATATATATATGTGTGTGTGTATATATATATATATATATATATATATATATATATATATATATATGAAGACAAGCGATGTTTTGTGTTACTCGTGTCAAGAGCAATTACATGCGAGGGAGAGGATGTTTGCGCCAGCTCTCTCCCCAAACGATCAATAATGGCGTTACCTACTATACGCTTGGACATTAATGGCGTTCTTTGTAATGTTTTGATTGACTGTGGATGTACCTGCTGTATAATTTATAAAAAATGTGGGCCAAATATTACGAAGAAAGTAGTTAGCATGGTAACTGTAAATGGACAACAACAACAGTGCGAAGACGTTAGCCGAACTCGAATCGTCACGCAATATGGGAATGAAGTTTTTGTGGAAGCACTTGTAGTTAACTTTAAACCACTTGGTTATTTTTTTTTGATGGGTATGGATGGAACAGTGGCCTTTGTTGGAGTATTAATATCTGCAACTCGTGTTGTTTGTTTTATGGGAAGTAACGAATCATGTTTACTTAGACTAAGAAGTTATTTGCCAAAAGATGTCAGTAATTTGAATATAACAGCTCGAGATTTTACAGTTTCGTTTGAAAAAGAAAATCGAGAATGGATAATTGCGTGGAAATGTAATAATAATTTTCAACCTGAAACTTTAATGAACAAGATTGCTGAATACACTATCTCTGTTGGCATAAAACACGATAACGAAAAGGAAATTGAAGGATGGATAGAGAAAAAAAGGCTGCAAAAGTACGTTCTAAAGAAAGACGGTCCAATAAAAGGTTTGGTTCCTCTCATGGCAGTCGTGCAGCGAAATAAAGGAAAAGCACAACCAGTATTGGACTTCAGAGAGCTGAACACGTTTATTGAAGCATTCACTGCGAACACAGATGTGTGTGCTGACAAACTTCGAGACTAGAGACGGTTTGGAGAAAATATTTCAATAATTGATTTATCTTCAGCTTACATGCAACAAAAAATTGATGAGAAACTTTGGACTTACAAAACTGTTGTGTTCCGCGGAACAAGATTTAGTTTAACACGTTTGGGATTTGGACTAAACGTTGCGCCAGTCATAATGAAAGCTGTGTTGGACAAAGTGCTATCGCAAGACGAAACAATCTGGAAAAGAACGTCATCATACATTGATGATATTTTTGTTAATGAATACATAATACCTGTTCGTTGCGTACTTGATCATTTGGAAACCTATGGGCTTCATTGCAAGCCGGTGGTCCGCGTATCTGATGAAGCAAGAGTTCTTGGTTTGCAAGTCGGAATGGAAAATAAAAGGTTGAGTTGGAGAAGAGATAATGATTTGGTAAAATTTCGAAATCACTTACAAGACATAACATCTTTTCTTTATGCGGAAAAATGACGGGAAATCTTCCAGTTTGGGGTTGGTTGTGTGAAGCCTCGTCATATATTAAAAGAACGGCAAGCGCCTTAACGAAAACGTGAGATAAAAAAATAAAATGCCATTATCTGGAGAAAATGCTTAATTATATGATACAAAGAACACGAAATGAAGATCCTACTTAAGGAATTTGGAAAGTTTACAGTAACGAGGTAATAATTTGGGTAGATGCTAGTTTAAAAGCACTAGGCGTGGTTGTTGAGGTTGATGGCAATATAATCAAAGACGCTTGTTGGTTAAGAAAAGACGACACAACACATATAAACATGTTTGAAATTGATGCAGTAATTAAAGGACTAAATATGGACCTTAATTGGAAAATGGAAAAATTACACGTCTGCACTGATTCGAAATCGGTAACCCATCGGGTTACCGACGCGCTCACGTAAAAATCTAGATTGAGAAAAAAAGCTTCAAACGAAATGCTGATAAGAAGAAAACTTCATAACATTGCGAATGTAGTGGGAGAATACTAACTCAAAGTAGATAATAAACTTGTCGCTTCGGAGTTTAACTTGCCAATGCCCTTACTAGAGTGCCCACTAGTTGGTTAAAATTGGTTAATAAACCCTATGAAATGGCAGCAAGTGGCATTAGTAGTATCTCCCAAAGACATCGAGGAGGTTCATAGATCTACAGGACATTATGGCGGGAAGAAAACATTGTACTTCGCTTGTAAAATCGACCCGTCAGTGAGCAAGGAAGACGTAAAACTAGTGGTTGAATGCATAGTTTGTCAATCAATCGATCTAAGTCCAATGAAATAGCAGAAGTGGGAAATAGAAGTAAAGAGAACGTGGCAACAATTTGGCTTGGATATAACTCATTAAGAGAGGCAGCACTATCTTACTTTAATATACTGTGGATCTACACTTTATGCAATATTGCGATATTTTAAAGATTAAACCAGTACATGTGTTATTCAATAATCAAACGCGATATTTCTCGAACAAGGAAGTCCGAATGAATTACTGATCGACAAATATACTGCAATTCGAAGCACATTGTTTTCTCAGTTCGCGAATAAATGGAACGTTTAACTTCGATTCAGGTGCGCTTATGTACCTTCCGGAAATGGAATTGCAGAATAATGTCACCAAACTGTCAAAAGAACGGCGAACAGAGTTCCATGCAGCATACTGGAGTTGTGCGTCTTTTACTGCACCTGAAATAAGTTATATCAATACAAATCTACAGTAAGATGAATTGATAAAAACAAGAATGCCCATTATTCTCCTAAGAAAATAACCAATAAATTCAAACTTGGCGATAAAGTATGGGTTAAACCCCGGATAGCCGATGCAACTCTCATTATAAAATTGGAATAACTATAGGGATAATCTTGGAGCATATGGTAGAAGTGGACAAAATGTGTCAATATGTACGAGACCTAAGACAAGTAAGAGTTGACAACAATTCTTATTAGAAAATATGAGGCGTTTAACGCTAAACTTATAAAGTCGATTTTGATGTGATTTTGATCTGAAACTACAAAATCTATATATATATATATATATATATATATATATATATATATATATATATATATATATATATATACAGTCAGTAAATATATTTTGAGAAATAATAAAATTTTAAATACGCCTTTCTGTCAAACAATCTTCAGTCAATATTGTATTAATTGTTGAGCGCCACACCTTTGGAATAAAATTGTTTTGGTGAATTTTAATTTTGAAGTACCTATTACTTTTTGCTTTTTTTAAAAAAAACTGGAAAACCTTACTCTTTTATTAGATAATATATTAAGTTGTTAACAGTAGTAAAACATAAAAATATATTTTAGTCTATTTTTTTGTTTATAGAAGTTTTATGTTTATAGAAATTTATTCCTACATATTTTGTTTATTGTTCTTATACTTTTTACTTTTTAATTTATATGTTTGTTTACTCTTGTATAAAAAACTAATGAGAAGATTCTCTTAATCTTTCTTAAGACACATATTGTTTGCCTTGTAATTTTGTAAAAGTTTATAAATTTTTGTATTATTTTGTTATTTTTTTTTTATCTTTGTTAAATGCTTTTTTAAGGTTCTGTTGACTAGATCCATGCGATCTTCTTTTAGATACCTAGTTTTTGTTTGTTATGTATTATGGGCTAAACAACGATTAACAAATGTAAACAAAAAAACAAACAAACAAACATGAATATAAATGAAATGTATTATAAACATTGAAATACTAATTTAAAAATCAAAAAGATTATAATAATTTAATCATACATGTTGCAAGACGGAAGATATTTAACAATTATAGAAGTAGATACAACCATAGACAATGCAATGATTAGGTTAGGTAAAAATACTTCATATTTCCCGAAAAAACCATCTGTAAAAAAAGTAAGTTCTGGTGAAGAAAGTTCTTGTAAATGCTAATGCTTAAACGCTATATTAAAAAACAATAAGAATGAAATTTAACATAATTATTAAGATAGCAGAAAAAATAAAAACGATTTTATTTGAATTCAAAAAGAAAAAAAAACATTTTTTAAACCAAAAAATTATTTTATACACATTTTCTATTTTACATTTTATTTCAAATTATAATGCCACAGTGGGTTAATGATTATTTAATAATAGTAATATCAAAGATAGGTTGAAAATTTTAGTACCATCACTACATGCTTTAATAAATAATTAAAGAATGTTTTCATAGTTTCATTTTCTGACATCTTTTTGCAGAAGTAATAATCTTTAGTTTTGCTCATTCCAGACATATATCTTTGTTTACATTACGTGATAAGTTTAAGTTAAGGCCAATTAGCTCTATAAGGAATGCTGAGTTAATCTTTTTAATAGTTAACTTATTTGCGACATAGTAAAGTTTCAACTGCATATCAATGTTATTATCTCTTTTTCAATTTTTTATTAACTAGGTTATAAAGTCAGCATATATGTCATGGTATGTTATGCATCTGTAAACAGAAAAAAGTATTTTATTTGTTACTCTTTCTTTACTCATTTACTGCGTTATTATTTTTTAAACTGGAATCACTTGCCAAAAATAAATTTAAGTAGCGTTGATTTCATTTTTAATGCAAGCAAAAAATGCGCACTTGTGGGGTTTTTTTAAAAACCTATAATGCCTTATGCTATATGCATATATATATATATATATATATATATATATATATATATATATATATATATATATATATATATATATATATATTAATATATATATATATATATATATATATATATATTTATACATATATTTATATAGGGACCACTAAAATAACGGGACACGAAACTTCAAATCGTTGCTAAAACGACACAGGGTCGATTGTAAATGGCGATGCTAGTTTGATTTAACAAAGAAATTATGAAAAACTTACTTTAATCTTATTATATTCACATTTCAGAACACATTAAAGTGATATAAATTTATATTACTAATAGAATGTATATATTTTTCATCAGTATCGTATTGATAAAATATAGATTAATGCAATAAAAATATGGGAAATATTTACAAAATTTTCCAAAAATAAAAACCTTTTTTTTTGAAAAAAAATACTATTTTTATTGAAAAATCTGGAATTTTTTAATTTTTGAAAGTAGTAAAACTAAAAATTTGCATTAAGTAGTTTTTAATTTAACTAATTTATTTTAAGTAATGAATCTATTAAGTGTTACAAAATGTTGTGTCAAATTTATATTAAATAATAATGGTACTACTTTTATTAGTTATAATCATGCCAAGAAAATGTTCAATAGTTAATTGTACCATAAAATATTTAACATCAACTTCAGAAGAAAAGCTTTATGTTTACATGTTTTAAGTGACACACAAAAGTTACAATATTAATTGTCATCTACTCTAAATGCGTTTGAAAAAGTAACTTCAAATATGGATGTGTGTAAAAAATACTGGCCACCAGGCTGCAAAATGCACAAGCCTCCTTGATCAAAGTTTGAGGTAAGCGTCTTTTAAGTTGTTTTTATTGATAAGTTTTACAATGACTAATATTAATAATATCTTTTTTTTAGGTTCCTTTTGATTCCCCATCTATTTTTCCTGGATGCACATCTTCAACGGTGCACCAAACAGTCTCAACACAACTAAGATCTATAAATATAAATAAAATTTTTTTAACATCACGAAATACAATACCTGATGAAATGGATGATTACAATCAAATTGATTTAATTAGATTTTATGATGTTGAAATAATGTTATCTGATATAAAAGAAAGGTAAAATTATTTTTTTTCCTTGTTTTATGATATTTGTTTGTTTTGATTTAAATTTTTCTTGTTATTAAATCTATTTTAAATATCCTCAATACTTTGCATTCATTGAAAATTCAAAAGTCATATTGTTTGATTTTCCTCGATCATGTCTATTGTCCTAAGACAATATTTTTCTGTTGAAATTAACTGTCATTCACGTCAAGTTTTTATTTATTGTAGACATACAAAAGTTAACTGCTATGAGCTGCTCATTTTTTCTCATTGTCTTACTCTGTGGTCACAGCTTGAAGCTATTGTCAAAAGAGTTTGTACCTCTAGTCCTGAATTAAAAGATAAGGTATTAAGTATGATTTGCCAAATTGAAAATACATACAGTGACACTTCTGAAAAAAATTCTTTCCTCATTGAACAACTACGCCTCACCACTTATTCTTCAAATGGGCTGCGCTTTTCTACTTTATGGTTAAAACATGATCATAAATATATATTTGAAAAATTAACGTAAGAAATAAAACATGATCATAATACTTTTGATCATATTACAAAACATGTCATAATACTTTTACACCAGAAACAAAACATGCTTTAGTTAACACCCCACAAGGATTCGTAGAATTAATTAAAAAACTGATTTCATAAGATCACCAATATGTTCTTCCCGGTATTTTTCAAACAGACCCGACGGGCAATTGTTTTTAAAAGTTACGTTCTAAATGTGTTTTAAATGTCTTTTAAACGTCTTTTAAACAATAATGCTTAAAAGACGTTTAAAAGACATTTAAAATACATTTAGATCGTAACTTTAAAAAAAAAATGCCCGTCGGGGATCGTCTTGTAGGTGAATTTGGCATCTACAGGTAAAATTATTTTTGTGTTACTTATAGTAAAGAAAGTTTTGTAGATTTAAAATCTAAAAAACAAATATTTCTCTCATTTTTTTAAATGTATTCTCTTTTAACATACGTAAATTTAACATTACGTTTTTATTTGACAATTGCTGTTTTAACTATATTTAATACTCGGTTCAACTCAATTTATTTGGTTATATCTTTTTGAAAATTTTTTGCTTATCTGTAGACAACTAAGGAAGTGGCGGTAAATCATTTTATCTCAGCAGAATAAGTGTTGAACACCTTCAGCGGTTAAAATTATTCAGCAAAATAGTTTCTTTGGATAAAACTGACATTCATTGCTTACGCATACATTTAGACTGTTGCACAATGGATCTAACTTAACGTTCAAACTTTGAGCTAACATACAGACAACGTAAAAAAAAAACAAATATTAACGTAGTTCTGCTAACTAAAAAAAAATCTGCTATAAATATTTATTTATTTTTTTCTTAAAGATGGCGTATAAGAAAATAGAAAATAAGTTTAGTTAAAAGATAATTAGCTAAGTTTGGTTTGCATTGTCTTTTAAAAGACATTCGAGGAATTTTTAAAAAATGTTTGAAAACAAACAGCGCTTAATTATCTAAAACATTGAGTTGTCGATAAAAGATTTAATAAATGTTTGATTAAAAAGTTTTATTTTAAAAAAAATATATATGTTATTGTTTAGCCTCTTAATTTTACCCTGCTTATAGAATAAATGTTTAACAGTAAGTATTGTATTTGCGAACTAATATTTTAAAGCAGTTCTTTTCAGATTAACCATAAATACTAATTTTGATACCTTTTAAATTTTGATAATACAAATATGATAATTAATGCAGAGGTAATTACACAGAAAAATATTTTCATATTATTATCAGTGATGGAGTGAAATATTTGTATTAGGGTATTCATTATTATAATTTTTCATTGTTTAATCTTATTTTAACCTTTAAAGGGTTGTGCAACTAGTTTATATTGCTTTAACAGAATCAAAATTTTATGCTAAGTTTAGATTTTTTAATAATAAGAAGAAGTAATATGTCGAATATTTTACTTTAGATGCAAGGAAATTAGAAACGAATATCAAGTCGGTTTGAGCCTAATGCTCAACCTTTTGAATTTGATAGTTATTCACACTGAGCAAGATAGTATAATATTTTAAATCAAATTAACTGCGGAAAATGAATTTCAATAAACTGGTCACTTTGTTTATTATTCGATAAACAACGTAAGTAATTAATTTGAAACCAGAACGTTAATTTTTCAAATATCTTTACCAAGCATCTGCTATGCTTTAATTGTTTAAAAAAATCATATTGTAAAGTATGTAAAGTAAAATTAATTTAAAATTTTCATTTATAAAAAGCATAGAGAGTCTTCAACAAAAGCTCTAATAATTGATCATATTGCAAATATTGAAATCTCCGTTGGTAAATAAATGTCAAACAATATGTATAGAAAATGCAAGCAGTTCTGAAGCAGTTCTTTTTATATATTTATAGTATATACCATACCTGTAATCTTCTTGTATATTCACATTTTTAGTATTAATTTGTATATTTATTTAGTTATGTTTTAGTTAACATAATCTATTTAACTTAATAATTTAACGTTAAACTAATGAACTGAAAAAAATACAATTGACATTATTTTGCAAACTAAAGTTTAACGTTAACATTTCGTTATTTAAAACCTGTAAAACCTAATTTTTGTATTCAGATTTTATTTTAAGCTACTTTTTATTATAGTTTAAATAACCATAGCTAATAAAGGCTAGCAAATGCTCTTACTGTTTTTCCAAAAAATGTTTTCAGCTTATTTTCTGGCTCAATTATGACTATTAATTATTACTATTTAATAAGACTTTTAACTTTAAGATTTTAATTACGATACAAATATTCAACTGTATGATTTTAATTATGACAATTATATACAAAACATTTAACTATATGAGATTAATGAGCTAGCTAGTAAAAAACTTACATAGAACAAATGTAGCTTGATAAGAGGATAAGAATAATAAATCTTTAAAGTTTAGGAAATAAGAATATTAACTTTTTTAAATAAGTTTTATCCAGTTTTATTATTAAAAAAAATTATTTTTTCTAATTTTTATTATTTTTTTATTGTAGTTAGTTTTCATTATTATCTTGTTATTGTTAAAACTGCTAAAATTTATTGTTAAAACTACTAAAATTTATGTTTATTTCAGAATAATAATTAATGAATAAACAAGAGAAAAATCAATACTTGAG